AGTTTCAAAGAAAGCAGTATGTAACTATAAAAGCTAAAATGTGAAAAATAATTTTCGACGACAAGGGACAGGCTCGAGACATACGAGACTCAACAGACTATATTTTGTTTATGACTTTATGTCCACTACTCCACTATTCTATTACAGCCCGCATTTATTGGGTGGTTTATTGAAAATTTGTCTTTGTCCCAGGTATTTACACCGACGGGCTAAGTTATCTCTGTAATTCTATGACTGTATAATATATAATAATAAGTAATAATATGAATAATGATTAGGTAATGACTAATGAGTCTATAAATATTAYAACCGTGTATGGCGGGATACTGAGTACCTAAATAATTGTTATATTTTTCTTTTATTAATGACGAGGTTACCCGTATAACATTTCGGTTTATAATATACTATATAGTTGTATAATATTTTCTGTGAATATGCAATATGTCATATGATAATTATTTTTATAAATTATTGTCTAATAATTATTAATTAATATATATTTAAGATTTCAGATTTTTTTTAKAAAATAAATTTGTGCAAAATTGAATTTATTTTAAATTAGTGGTTTAGGAAAAACATTAACTTACCGTGCCAATAAAATTAATTAACTCGTTAGTTACTGAATAACTTGGAAAAAAATGTAACTCGTTAAGTTAGAAGTTATTTCTAAAAAAAAGTAAGTTGTTAATTAACTTAGTTAAAAGTAACTTAACTTTAACTTACTAACTCGTTAATGCCCAGCCTTGCATACCATTATCACTTTTCACTGATACTCAAAAAATGGAGGTGGAATATGCTAATTATAGAAAGTGRAGGGTTGATTTGATATCCCATCATTCCCYTCCCCCACATAAAAAATGCATACTTCAGAAGTAATCAGGAGTGATGAGAAAAGTATCAAAGACATTAATTATTGTAGAATAGCACAAGATAAGCAATCTTTTTTACCAAAGGAACAAACTACTAACCGGAAATTCAAAAATATAAACATTAAAAAATTACTTGTATAGAGCAGAATAGTGGATAATATTAAAAAACTTCATAGAAATAAACAAACTATTTTTCATTTTTTCTGAGTAATATTTTATCTAAGTTTTCTTGATTTAATAACCGTATTAACTGAAATGAAAGTCATTACAAATAATTAACATTAATAACATTTATTTTAAGGGTTGCATACTATTCATACTAGATAGGTATTATCTTGGGTGGCAGTATTGTGCTAAACAGTTCCCACCCGTTCCCGGTTTCAAGAAGGAAAAATAAGATAGGTATTATCTTTTGTGCCTGATACTTAGAAGCTGCTCATATACGCTAGCCAAGTATTAATGATGGCAACTTCCGGTTTTCAGGCGTGCTTTTCATAATCTATATATTGTGTTTTTTCTTTTACTACAATAAATATTGCTACAAAAATTACAAAAGTTGTGCACGCTTATGCGATGGTTATGCAAANTAGTATCTATAGTGTTCCGTAAAAATGGTACATCCACCTTTGAAATCTACTGATAACCCTGCACACTAAACAATTCTCTTTCCTACGACGATTTCACTTCACTGCTTCACAAGAATCCTATTAATGTTATTAAATTTGTTTGTTAGAATTCATCGATGTAGTTGTAGATTGATCCCTGAATTTGTCATATTCGATGACACTACTGGCRAAAATGAAAAACACTCAGCAAATCTCATCTGTTCAGTGTTCATATTTTAATTCCGTCTTCTCTTCACCAACGAATTATTCCGAAGTACTCAGTATAGAATATAGATATTACTRAGTTTGATTTTTACRGTATTTTTAGTATACACAATGTTTTTACTAGCTTATTCTCACTGAAAAATTTAAAATCTGTTTACCTGATCTTCCCTTATAACTTAAGACGACTATAAAAACTTCGACCCACGAAAGAACGACCGTAACCTKCTCATCTATACTATAGGTCACGAATCCTGCTAGTCAAAATTTACCCCAACATAGTTCCAATCTCTAAACTCAGCGCCGTGTATATAGTGGCTYATAAAAGCCCATTGTAAATGCATTTTATTGCTGCGTTGGTTATATTGAATAAATAAATACTATATTATAATTTGTGTTTTGTATTATAAACCTAAAAGATATGCATAATTATTTGTCAAAATATTTATACGCTATATATAATTATATTATTATTATATTATTAAAAAATCAATACTGTTTCCTCTATTTTTCATATTCGGGAGCATGTTTTATAAAATCGAATTTCAGAATGCCGAGTTTTAGATTGTCAAGTCTTAGAAAATCTATAATTTAAAATATAAGACTTTTAGCAACATTTTGTTATAGAATATTTATAAGCAGGGTTCAGATTTTATAGCATTTGCTTCTTATTATAGGATAGAGATAAAAATAGCAGAGTAGGGGCTATAAATTTGTTTAATGCACCACGGACTCTAAATATGAAATTTTATTTTGCTATTTTTTCATATTTGAAGAATTTTAGAATTTTAGTGCTATGTTTTGCTAATATTCTTAATTCAACGCTTTATTTTATATTTTTCATAAATCTCGTGACAAATGGTATTCATTAATGCGAATCAATAARAATTGAAATTTTATTCTTATTTACTCAGATAATTTTGAATAGTTGCGTACAAACTATGTCATAATTCAAGGTAGTATAATTCATAGTTAATCAGTACATACTAATCTTTTTAAACTGTATACGGAGATTTTATTTTATTTTTTATAAATATATGATTTAATAAAGAAATATGATAAATTGAATAAAATTTTGACTATTTATTTGGTTTATAATTGTTATTTTTGTGTTCATGTCTATAGGCAGCAGAATGTTTGAAAACCTATATAGATGATGGTGAAGCATTTACTGTAAATGATTTCTTATATCCTAGAAAATTTTGGCATTTGGTGTATGGACCTTCATATCTAATACGATTATTTGGTTTGTATAAACATATATTATTTTTAGTCTGACTTTAAAAATCATAACAAATATTTTATGATTTAAATAATAGATACTAAAAAATATTAACACGTAAAACATCTACCATGAACAGGCATACATAAGACTATTGTATTGGTCTATTAATTATATCTATTTTCTTTATAAAGGTTCTTATCTGCCTTTATGAGTTACAACAAGCAGCTTGCCATTACTCATTCATTTAAAAG